CCTGGCTTCTCTAGCTCCCCGCTGCTCCCTCTCCTTGACTTGAGATTTCAGTAGCCGTGCTCGCTGTCAGGGCTTCATTTCCCCAGTTCCACCTTATGGCTTCCCAGGATTTGCTATTAAACTCTATCTTCCTTTGCTCTCTTTTTCTTCTGGCAAGCATAAACCACTTCGTTTTCAAAGCTTTGCAATCTATTCCCACTGTAGCCATTATCCCACGCATGCTATGGAGATGTTGACTTTCCTCTTTTGCTGACAATTCAAACATTTGCCTTTGACAGCCTGCATTTTCTAATGACCATCCTCGGTGCTTTCTACTGCACTGCCCTGTGTGCACTGAAGAAGACGCTTGTAGCTCAGCACAGAGGCGCCTTACTGTCTTTTTTCAAAGCCTTCCTTAAACCTTCCTTCTGATCCCTGCAGAACTGTGTGATACCAAAACAGGTATGTGATAAGCTTAGTTCTCCTCCTATTCCACGTGTTACTCTGTCTGTAATTATCTACTCTATTTTATACTCAATTTTTAAATTATTTGCATGACAGCTGTTCTCTGTCGTATTTATGCTTGATTTTATCAGATATGTAAAATATAACTAATAAAATATAACCATCACCAACACCTTGGTTTGTGTTGCATTTACAATGACACTCTTCAATGAGGTCATTGGAAATGCAAACAGGTTTTATGGAGGGATTTTTTTCCTAACCAGTCGACAGGTTTTAATTTGGGATCTTAAATCATAATTGTTTTTCAATTTTCTGCTCTGCCTCACAAAAGCATAATGAGGGCACACCTGATGCTATAAAAAACAGATGTCATTTCAGTGCTCTAAGACTGCGTGATAAATTTGGAGGGGTTATGAATTGCAATCATAGACATGCACTTATCAGGGAGCTCACAAGAACAGAGAAGTAAAGCGTTGCTAAACAAGGTTTGGGAACAGATTGCACTTTAATTTCAGAGACTGAGAATGCAGAAGCTGGGGGTGGAATTTTCTTAAGGAACTTTCAGGAGACCATTTCAAACTGGCAAGTAATATATTCAAGTTCTTTCTTCCTACCAGTCACATTTAATCAGAAAGTACTTGGGCTTGCCCATTTTAAGTGGAAGAGCAGCAAGCAGACTGGGAAGAAAGCTAGGTCATGCAGTTTGTGCTTACTTGGAGAAACATCCTTCCTTTCCTGTTCTCCTTGAGACAAAACTTCTTCAAACAGGATGTTCAGTGGGAACTGAACTGTACATGAGATACAAGTGGAGCTTTCTAGCACTTGTTTCTTTAAGCAGATTCACACAGGTGTTCAAAGGTGTATTCATGGAAATTAAATGTATTTTACATGAACGACCATTTCATGGGAAGTCATTGGCACAATCTAAGTCACCCATATCTAGTTATTACTGAACATAGTCAACTGGAAAAACCTGTAATTTCCATCACATTTATTCCTTATTGTGTGGCAAGATGTCTTTTATTCATAACCAAACTGAAAGCCCAATTCTCTATCCCCCCAAGCTCTCTATTTTATTGTAAAGCAAATCAAGCGGCAAGATGCGAGTTGAGGTGGCTGTTACCCTGATGCTCCGTGGTCACCCTATGATGTACAGGACAGTTGAGGAGCAGCGTGTGTTCTAGGTGTTGCTGTGGGTGTCTGCTGTAGGGTTGCTGAATCATGAAATGAACACATTCTGCTAAAGAAAAAATCCTGCCCACTCTGTTTTCTTGAGTGTCTTATTTTGGGTCTTGTTCATCATGGTTTAAAATTGCATGTTCTCTAATTGTGTGCCCGTGTAGTTGAGTGTATGTGTGAAATACCTTCTGGAATACTTGCTTAAAAGATCTTAGTGTATCAAACTACAGTTGTTAGTTTTGTTAGATACGAAATTCATGAATAGAAATGTGTTCATTTTTTTCTTTGGTTATCTGGGAGAACCCAGAGTTTGAAAACAGAGGATATATACCAGGGCAATTTGATGTAGCTATACAGCCTCTTGAACTCTGGAGCTAAAACTAAGGGGGAAGTTGATTGCTTTATTGTTTTTAACAAAAAATGTCTTCCTTATCAAGCATAAGGAGTCCTGTTTGAATTGTAAGGCAAACTGCCTTCCTAGGGATCAATAACCCTTTATTTTTCATTTAGTAATGAATCTCCTGTTTCACTAGTCTTTCCCATAGATGGGGACGAATGCACCTCTAACTCTATGTTCCTTTTTTTTTTAATCAGAATGGGTACATTTCAGGTGCATTACAGGGAGGCTGTCAGTTTGTAACTGAGCAAACTAAATATGCTCAGCTGAATGAAAGCAATGCTGTCAACATGAACAAGTGGTGTAATTGAGAAAAGAGGTATCTTGAAGCTTCACAGCATTCAAGAAGTGTCAGATCATCTTCGTTTGAAATGCATGGAAATGTTCTTTTTCCCGGTGTAGACATGAGTATTATGTGTCGTCCAGGACTGGCCACCCCGGTGCTTAGCAGACCCTGAGATTCACACTTTGTTCTTGCCATCGTTGTTGAATTTCACCCTATTTGAAAGAGTCACTCAAATTGGTTTTGTAGAATTCCAGACCTTTACCTTCATCAGGATGTAGATCAGTGAGATTAAACCAAGTGCTTGTCCTTCCACCTTTAGAAGCGTTTCACCCACTTTTGGTTGTTACAAAACCCTATATACTGCTTTCAAAAAGCTTTTTTACTGGTATGTATTGCTGTAAGGACAACTGGCATGCATTATTAGGAACTCTTGACTATGCAGAAGATAGTTGAGGATGAAGTACTTCTGGTTATGAGACCATCAAGACCAGCAGAATTGTGAGAAACAGATTCCGTCATATTTTGCTGTTTCCAGCTCAACAAAGCAAGATGTGTTTCTTCCAGATCTCTGTACCCTAAAGGAAGTGTTTGAAGGACTGGGTCTCACTGCTCAGTGAGTTTGCTTTAATACCATTGGCATGACTGGAAAACTTTGACAGATCTTGCCCTGTGGTATGATTGCTAGCATATCTGTATCTGTATTTGGTCAAAACTTCTGACTAAGAAAATGCATGATACTTTTTTTTTCCCTCTGCTTGAAAATAACACATTCTGTTAACAGTAAATGTTATGGAAACTCATAGCACTTAGCTTCTGAAAAACACCGCTATGAACAAAAATATCCTGCACTCTGCTTTAAAGATAATATTTATATTTTCTGCTGAGAGAGTAATGGGAAGGAATATCATTAGAGCTTGAGAATGTCACTACAAGTGGTGTGCATTGTCTGTCCCACCTAAGCTTTTTTTTTTTTTTTTTTTTAAATGGAGTACAACCTTCAGTGAGTTCCTCTGTGTAAGGATAAATATAGCTCCAAGAGCGGTGGAAACCAGACTTGTAGGTTGGAGTGGAAGTGACTGCTGTGATGCCCTCACTAGGTGCTGTAATTTCTGCAAAAGATCTGTGCAGGGGAAGGCAAAACGTGGAACAGATTCTGCAAATGGGAAATTGTGGTGAATCGTGGGTCTATGGATATGCCGCAAAAGTCAGGCGGGGCTGTTTTCTGAATCACCAATTTGCTTTTCTAAATGTTAATTATTTTTCTTACATCTTAAGCTATATAATCTTACGACTGTTTTGTAGCAAGAGTTCAAAACTGGACTGATAAAATCAGTGTAAAAACTTCTTAGTGTTTAAACCTTGCCTCAGCTATTCCCGTAGTCTGATCAGAACTGTTCAGGCTTTGAAAATGATTAAGCAAACTTCTGTGCAAAAACAGCCCTAGAGGTGGAGGTGCTCTCTATGTCACTCTTTGGATCATTTACATTTCAGTGTGAGGAGAAAATAATGCAACCACCGTTAAAAGGCCGTGTTTCCTAAGAGCAAGCTGCATCTGCACCTGCACAAATACACACGCACTTGCTGAACTCCAGGTCCTACCCCCTGCCTGGTGGTACTGAGATGGAGGAGGCACTGGGGAGGCTCTTCTCTCGGCTGTCAGTCTGTCAGACGGTGTGCGTGCCCTCAGGCTTGGGGCAGGGAGGTGAGAGGCTGCAGGAGCACTGCTTTGGTGTCCTGCATGGGTCTGGGGGCATCCAGCCCTCCCCAGCTCCGGGCAGCTGCTGTCACCATCTCATGATGACCAGCATGGAGGAGGCAAGTCTGCTTGCTCCCCAGGTACCTATTCGTGTCTGTCCCATTAAATTCCTGCCATTGCTGGGAAAGAGGTGCAGCCGTCATCATTTTCGCTTACCCTGCCAAGGACAGGCTTCGATTTCACCCTCAGTGTCTCACTGATACTTAGCTAAACCATGTCATTTTAAGCTGGTCCAAACCTTGTGAAGGATTTGGGGATCTCCAGCTGCGATCTGTGTCTTCTCATTTTTACAGGGCTGTCTGTATAAAAACTGCCTGCTGGTAAAACAAGTGCTGGGTAAGCCTGTGTTTGTCATTCCTGACCTGTGTGTCAGAAATCCCCCCTGGCTGCATGAAGAAACGATTGCTGAGCCCTTTCCGATAGAATAATCCGCGTAGCCCGCGTGCATGCAAGCACCACAGTTCATGCTTCAGACCCGCACATGGAGCTCAGCGCGAGTAGTGTGTGTGGCTGCTATGGTGATTAAAATACATAAATAAGATAGATGAGCACGGACCGTGTTAGCAGTGCCTTGCTGGCAGCCGTTCAGATGGCAGCCAGCTCCAGCCCGCGGTGCCGGGCGCGTTTCATCGCCCCAAACAGCCAAAGCAGCGGGAGCGCCGGCGGCTCCTGTGAGGGGAGGAGTTACGCCATGGCCCCTCTACCTTGTCAGCGAGCAAATTCAGCCCCGAAGTGGCAAACAAAGGGCTTTTGTGCACTTTTACAGCTCGGCGAGGGTTAGCGGCCTGCCACAGTTTTGAGCCGGGATGAGCTCGGCGCTGACCTGCCTGAGAGGGGACCGGGGGGTACGCGGGGCAGCCGGGGGAGGCTCGGTGGGGAGGTCTCGCTCCCAGTTTCAGGCACGACACAGGGAATGGTTAAAAGCAGCTCCCACTTACCTGGGTCTGCGCTTTGCTCACGTGTAGGCGAGCGTTTTGGCTGCCTTAGGACGCGGCTGTCAGCGATCGGGGCCGTTTGCTCGCGGTCAGTCCCGCAGATCCAGAGGTCCCCTCCGCCGCGGTTGACATCCTCGCCTGGCCGCGGGCTCTCGCTGCCTCGGATTCCTCCTCCTTCCCCTCTCACCTTCTAACATCCTCCAACTGCAGAACTCATCCCTCTCCTGAGATGCCGAGCGGTGCACTTGCCCCAGGAACTTTCTCCAGGCAGGACCCGAATTCAAAGCCAGCCTTTCATTTTCGCGGCGGAGTGGTGAGGGCGAAGGCAGTGAGGGGAACTGGAGCGCTCGCTTCCTTTAAATCCCCACCAGAGTCTGCCGAGCACTGAAAGCGAAGCCACTTGTCATGGTGAGCTTCAGAGTTTAACTTCAGGGGGGAGGGAGAAAGTGGAAAGCAAACTGAATGCTGTAGTGGAGATTTCTCTCTTCCCCCACTGGGCCCCTTGCCGACTGTTTTTATTGATTTCAATCACTGGAGGCTAGCGAGCTCGCAGAAGAAACACTGTGTAATGTGTTCTTTCCTGGCTTTCATTAAAGAAACTCAATGCAGTGCGGTCACGCTGCCGAGCTCGCCTGGCAACCTGCCTACACCCTGTGGTACCTCTTTCATTGGAGGAGATGGAGCTCGTGGTTTGTTTTTTTTTTTTTTTTTTTTTTTTTTCCTCCCCTCCAGCACTGATTTCAAAACAGCTTATCCTCCGCTTCTACCTTCCGCGAGCCCAAAGCTGTTTAAAGTTGGGAAGCGACTGTCAGCACCCCGACGGGGAAGGTCGTGCTGGTGGCGGTTCAAGAGCCAAGGGCTGGGACAGCCCCGCACTCCTTTTATTAAAATTCTTCTCGGGGAGGGCTGAAGAGGGGCTGAATGTGAGCCACGGCGATGTGGATACAAATGATTCCCGAGGGTTCTTTTTTCTCCTTCTCCTTCTCGTTTCTCCCTTCCCCTGATTGGAGAACGTGGTTTAATTAAGGCTAAGAGAGTAAGCGGAGTCCTTCTGCAAATCTGTGAAAATTCCTGGCACTGTCGTTGTGCAAATGAAGCAAAACGACATTCCCCAAGCCTGCAGTAGTGCAGTTGTCTTAAATACTTCTGCTGCATTCAGGACTGTGATACTGGTGGAGAAAAATGAGAAATAAAATATGGTACTAATTTATGCTTTAGAACTTAATCTGTTACAGTATGTACTTTATAGCAGCAAACAATCTATAAAGTGGAATTCAACAAGCTAGTTTCTGTAAGTCGTATTGTTCTATGTGCCTGTAAATCCTTTCATTTAATTTAGTAATTTGCTTAATTTCTTCTTATTATGCAGATTCTAACGTTAATACATTATGTGCTCTTCAGAACTGGATGTAAATCTATGAAACATGCAAATATCACCCAGTTGTAAATAAAGCCTGATTTCGAGCCACAAGGGCTGTACCCATTCAAAATTACAGCTGCAGATTTAGGGTACCACCTGGTAGCTTGTGCTCATGAGATACCGTGTCTGGGTACGTAAGGACATACTCTTTTAACATTTGCACCACTACTAAAAGAATCCGTTCCTGGATCAGAAAGATAAAAAGATTGTTCTTATTTAAATCTGGCTTCCTGCAGAACTTGTTTGAGGCTTTTCTGCCTGGATTGCATCTACAGAAACCTTTCCAAATCAACGTAATTTATTCCCAGTGTTTCTGTTGCCAAGAGTTGAGATTTTTAAAGCAACTAGCTTTTATGAAAAATTTTAATTATTTCTTTATAACATATATAATTTTTTTAAATCTTCCTCTGGAAGTTCTACAGACACGATATAAGGAAGTCTTATTTCTACAAATGTTACTTTTAAATCAAAGCTTGCTTTCTGCGTGGGAATTATGTTTCATGTGCTCTCTCTGGTCATACTTCTTATTCTCATAAGGTGCTAAATGACAGAAAATGGTTATTTAAATTCAATATGGCTGCAAACTATTTTGTGTAAATTCTATAGCTGTAGTTGTAGCATAGTCCTTTGGCAAGCCTCAAATAGTAAATCATTTGTCAGTCTTTCTTTTATGAACCTTGCATCTAAAGATTTGCCAGCCTTTCTTCTTTGTAGTTTTTGAACTGTATTTATAGATTCTGCTTTTTTGTTTTTAAGCTGGCAGATGGCCAGTTATTTATCTGGCTTCATATGTATTGTGTACGAGGGAAACAGAACATTTTGTATGCTAATATCGTGCATGGTGCATACTTGGGGCAAAAGGCTGCTTGTAAGCAGGATCCATTATGTGGCGAGTCGGTAGCTCCTAGTCCGTTCTCGGTCAGCGAACAAAGCCCCTTTGACATGGCTCTATATTAAAAGTTATGAAATAACACGAGCTTAATGAACAAACAAGGCACAATGCTGCTACTATGAAGCGAGCTGTATCGTCCATTTCCCCTTCTTTCTCTTCAGAGTTCAAAAATTTGAAGCCCTCTTTATACTTGTCTCTGTTAGTCATGTTAAAATTTATTCCTCTGAATTTCTGATGCCACTTGCTTTGCTGTTCTTTTGCTGGGCTGGTACAAAAAGGTGAAAGCACATTGACTTTTGGGGCAGTTGAACTCACTGGTGGTAACAGAAACTTGGTTTCCTTCCTTTTTCCGGCTCCCTTCCTGTCGCCTTTGTCAGGTTTCCTTTTCCATCACCTCTCTGCCCCAGCCAGTTCCTTACATTTAGTTTCCTTTGCCAGGGCACACGGCTGTCAGGTCGCACCCAGGGTGTTGCAGTGCTGCCAGAGCTCTGAGGATGTCTGCTGGAGGAGGATGAGCAGCACTCCTGGCCCCAGCAAAGGCAGCAGCTGTGCTGCGCCATGCGCCCTTTGCACCTTGTGCCACACACGGGTTGGGCAGAGCCCCTCACCAGGCAGCAACTTCTGACCTACACATACAAATCCCAAAGGCACATTTGCAATATATGAAAATCAGGTTCATTGGGGCACTTCTTCAGAGTTTCTGACTCTTGTCAACTTTATTCTGTGCTGGCAGGAGACAGCTGGGCATGCAAATGTAGGAGTCTTTAACAGCGGGAGAAGGAGGAGCAGAAGCCTTTAGAAGACATCTTCAGTCATACTGAAGTATGAGACAGCAAAGGCCCTTTGGTTAACTATAAAGCTGGACACAAATTTAAAAATGTGCTTGTTGCTCTGTTGAAACACAACAAAATTAATGTGCCGTTAATACCATCTTGGTACTGGCTGTCCAGCTGTCACGGTTCATAATACCCTGGCAGTTGATGCTTTTATACAAATTCAGGCTCTGAAAAACTGCACCTGTTTGTTTTTGCCACTCTTACTGCAAAAAAAAAAGGGCCTGATGTCTTCAGCAGGTTCTCTCTTGGGTAAATCTTTCTGCCTTTTCCAGTTCCTCTTGCAGCCAGGGTTGTTTTTCTCTGTTCTGAATTGCTTAGCAGGACTGCTGGATATTTAAATCCTGCACTCACTTCTGTTTGAGATGGCTTCCCCGTTATGATAGGTAAACTCATTTCTAAAGACAGCCTGTAAAATGTTTTACATTTGTGCAGTATTTCAAGATTACAGATAATAATTAAAAACTTTATTTTTTTAACTGATTTATAAAACTGCCACAGCTGAAGCCTCTAGATGTTTTTAGTCAGATGTCTTAGCCTATTTATTTCCACAATATTACTAAGCTTACCTAGAAATCAGAAATTTCAAGGCTGGCATTGATGAAAGGCTCTATTGGCAGTCTCTGTCCTTTGCATGCAAATTGACATAGTATAGTACAAACTTCGGGAATTTGCTTGAAAACATATGAGCTTTGCATCTCTTTTCCCTTGTGAAGATGACATGGATTTTTATGAGCGTAAATGTTAAAGATCTGGGGGTCCACCTCCTTGCCAAAGTACGGCAACCAGTGGCAGTACCCCTTCCAGCACCTTTTCAGGCCTTCTGGAAAGTTTCCAAGTGGAAGACTCCCACCTCCTTAATCATGAAAAAAGCCTGCCTCTCCTCTGAATGTCATTCATTCAAGTGTACTGACCTGCCCTGACCTTGTTTAGATTGAGATCTAATGAGCCCACGGTCCAAGGTGGTGTGGGAGCTCACAGCAGGCTTTGCAAATAAGCAAGTGTTGTGTTTTTCTACATGCATGTGTTTTAAATTTATCAGGTCAATAAACAAGTGTATCACACGCTCGAGTACGGACTTTACAGCGTTGTAGTTAAGAATAAATTGTGCCACTACAAATTGTGATGTCACATTATAAATATAAAAGGGGACAATGTGGAATATTTATGACCTAAAAACAATGAAGTCCCCTGTTGATTTGTGCTTTTTAAAAAAATTATTTAAATAATGAGGTAATGCTAAAACTCTGAATCTGAATGGCTCTCAAACTTCGGACACATCTCTCAGAAAAATAGTCACGCTAATGGTAAAGGGAGAAAAAAGATTAAAAGATAATGCTGTTGATTCCAAGGAGAAATGCATCACTAAAATATCATAATGGGTCATTCGAGTTAAAATAAATATAGCTAGGCTTTAAATTTCATTAAAAGGTTTGGCTTTATTTTGAGTCCCAGAATCTGGGGAAGGTTGGTTGGTTTCTGTTGTGTTTTCTGATTTATTTTTTTAAATTATGATAAAGTGAGCCTCAGCTTCAGTGGAGAATCTGCCCCAAATGCACACATTTTATGAAACAGATAAAACTTGAGGCTTTCAAATTAAAAGAACCAGTCGAGGACTGATTGTAGTACCTACTGCTGGCCTAAATCGTGTTGACACAAATGGATAAAAGCATAGCTGGAATGAGAGAGGTCGTCTGCAAGCGTTCACAGGACGTGTGGTGGGAGTCCCAAACAGAAGCCTACTGAACCATATTTTTGTTGGGCCGAATTACGGTCTGTGCTATCAGAAGGGTACCTTAAGCTATAAATCCCGACTCTTTCAACCCTGGAAAAGCTCCAGCCCCGAAGGGAGAACAATGCTGGTGTTTCAGATGGCCTACAGTGCAGAAATTGTTCCGCTGGAAACAAACGTTGTTAGGGCTTGGTATTTATGTTGGGACCCACTTATAGGGAGGGAGCGACTTGTTTTGTTTTTAATGGAGCGGTCGGGAGAGGGATAAAAAGCTTTTTGATAATGTGAGGAATGCGTGGGGGAAGGGAAGGTACAGAGATACGCATTTACTGTAAGTATGAAGGAGCAGAGGCCTCTTTATCAGAACTGCTCTAATGATGTGCCACAGTCACTTTATTTGAAAGCTTCATGGCTCACAGAAAAGTAAACAAATTCATTACATTATTTTTAAAAGAAGATTAAGTGTAGTGTGTCGTCTGTTGGACAGCTGCTCTAGTAATCTTTTACAAACACTTTATAAATGACCACCCTCGGTGTTTTTCTGGGCTTTGTGTGGCTGGATTGTTATTTTAGTAAGTACCAGGACAGTTTTTCCAATGAAAACGGTGTTTCCTGTAAAACAATGACATACCTACCTTCTCCCTAAATATTATTTCTTCTTAGCATGAGGTATAAATGTCTGCTATACAAATGCAACGTCTGTTGAGTTTTTTTGGGTGGATGCTGGCTTTCTGTAATAATAAATAAAAAGCATTTTAAACAACAACAACAAAAGCAAATCCTCTTTTCTGCCTCACTCGCATTTGTTCTGATGTCTGCTTTGTCCTTTTTTGGTCTGTGAAAACAGAGCTGAAAAAATGAGTCAAAGTCAACTTAGATAATGCGGGAAGTGACACCGAACAAATGTTTAGTCCTCAGCAGGTGTCTTTGGCAAATCAGCTAGCATTCAGGTATTGCTGTGTTTACCTATCCTTTGCTTTGAAGGTCTTCAGCAATAATGTTATTTAGCACCATGTTTGGATTTTTGTTTTAAGGCGCTTGACAAACACTAGCTGATACAATCCCAGGGATCCATCGCTTCATAAAGAGGTTTTAACCCATCTCCCTGAAGCGATCGATGTTCTCGTGCACCCAGGTGCCTCTACCAGGGGAGGAGGGAGCAAAAGGGACATTTGTGCCTGGGTCTGAGCACCAGCTCAGAGACCTTTGTCTCAAGGCAGAAGAGACTTGACAGGCATGTTAAGCATCTTGTGGGGTCCCCTTCCCCCTGCACTGCGGTCAGGTGCTCTAACCTAATCATCAAATGACCCCTTCCTTCAAAGCCCAGTCCGTGAATGCAGGTCTTGTTCCGGGAATGCCAGTGGTGGTCGGGCTCCTTTATTGTCCCAGCCCCGGGACGAGATGCTAACACAGCTGCCAGAGGCACTGGTGACTCCTCCAATTTTCCTTGCACTCTTCTCCAGGGCTGCCTCACATTAATGCCATTTTTACTGCTGTTGGGGCTGGTTTTTCCTACACATCTTATAAATAAGAGCCTGGCCTCGTAGGAAATTGTTCCTTGCTCAGGTTGTCTTAACAAACCCAGCACAGCTGTTGCTGAGGAAGTGGATTAATGGAGTCATTGGCAAATCAGCACTGTTTGGGCAGCATCTCTGTCATGTTCCATCTTCCTGCAATCCATTTTGTTTCCAAAGCATCGCCTGTGGCCCCAACACCTCTTGTTAAATATCATGAGCAGGATGCTTGAACTGTCTCAACATAAGGTGCTAAATATGGTTCAATTTTTAAAAAAATTTTAAAAAAAAAAAGGAGCCTGACAACCTATTCCAGTCTGAGCTATAATTTAGAAATGTGTCCATGTCTGCAATTTTAAGTTGGCTACAAATGATACAAGGGAATAGTACAGCACAGCAGCTGAAAACCCTGAGCTTATCACAGAAGCTAATACTTCCAGTGTTTTTGTTCTTAGCTTGGAAGAGATGGCAATATTTAAATGGTGCACAGTGTGCATGCCTTACCCTACACTGATTCACAGTGCCCACGGAGGTGGCTGAGAAGCAGCAGGTCCTCAAACCACAGTGAAGGTGTCACGGTTTTATTTGGGACAGCGTGAGGTGTGTAACTAGCATGCTAAGAATTAATACCATCCCTTCTCTCTTGGATTTGGAAATATCCATGAGGAAGTGTGTGAGTCCTGTTTGCAAACTTCTGTGTATTTTTCATTGCTCAGTCATTACTGGGAGGTTGCACAGAAGAGGTGGTTTCATTGAGTCCCAATCCCTACCCTTTCCTGAGGTCCTTAGGAATTGGGATATCCAGAAGCTATGTTCTCTACGATTTTGTGAAGGTCTGTCCAAGGTGATCATCGGAATAGGGCTCTATAAAGGATCTTAAGATCCGTCAGATCTGACGTCAGTCCTTCTACAGTGTGAATGGGAAGAGGAGGGAAAGCACAATCATTGCTAGTTTTGGACTGCGGTGCTCACACAGGAAAACAAAATGTACTAGAATGTGGAAATCGTGGGGGGATGTTGAGTAACAGCCTCTTAGTATTACACCAGCTGGATTTTTTTATGCTTCCAGTTGATACTTAACAACTCAGAGGACTACTGCCTGGAAAGATATGAATGAACCAGTGCTCAGAGTCACTGGAATAAGTCTTGTCTTGTTATGGAACAGCTTTTGTTTTTAGCTTGCGTGATTTCCCACTGGGTTTCCCCTGATAAACTCATCGTATCTTTGTAATGCTCTTCTTCTGTATGCAAAATAAATATTTTCATTTGGGGTATGATTATGCATATATTTATAGTAATTAGGTTTTCATTATGAACTGTTCTGTCTTAAAACCTAGTGAAACTTTAACCTTTGGGGATATATGTGTATATGTTTATGTAAGATTGTGCATATGTTTACCCAAGATAGCTGAAAGATCTCCAAGAAGGCTGGGATGAAAATGGTGGTTGTCACATCTTCCCTTCTGGCACGGTGGATATCAAGTGTGGAAGACAGAGATTTTCTCAGTGCACATCAGGATGAGATTACAGACCCAGAAACTCAGGATCTTAAGGAAACTCTACTCCCTTACATATCTATATAAGCTAAAAAAAAGTCCATAGTAAAATACAGTGTACAGTAAAATTACGAAGATTGAAGCGTCTGGTTTTAAATATTACCTGTTCCCTTCAATTAAAATTATGCATATGTTCTTTACCTTTATTTACCCTTTATTTAAATGTTTGTTATTTCAGGAAACAGATGAAGAAGATCTTACCCCAGAAGAAAGAAGGAAACTGGAAAGAAAATTGAAAAAGGAACGCAAGAAGGAGGAAAAGAAGCTGATGAGAGAAGCTGGAATCCCTACTAAAAAAGAAGAGCCCAAAAAGCTGTCAGGATCAGAGCTGGCTCTGGCCTATTTAACCAGGTAAGACTACTAAAACCCCACTGCAGATGCTCCCTGCAGAAGCAATCTGTAAACCATGCCAGAAATCCAGAACAAGCTGAACCAAGTAATAAGACATTAAAGGAAATTGCTGCAGTTAAGTAATAAGTTAATGTTTCATCTCATTTGACACCCTGTCACCATGTTTTATTTATATCACAGTAACTACTAAAGGATTTTGAGTATGCTACAAACATTTTAAAGAAAGCTCCTGTCCTGAAGATCTTATAGTTGATATATAAATATCACTGGGTTAGCTGCACTTAAAAAGATGAAAGGCACATTACAGACGAGATTGCATTGGGGAAATGAGTTTTGATTAAGTGCACCGTTTTAAGCAATGGAGTTTCACTTGTTCTCTTTTTGTGAGCAAATTGCCTGAAGTGGTTAAGCATTATGGAGTCCTAATTTAACTTAATACATGATATTTGGATATTTGTAAATTAAGAAGGGATTATGCCACCGTTACAAAGTTCATAGTGTGCAATGCCTTATTTCTGCATACCAAAGCATATAACTAGTATAGCGGCCGATTTCGGATCGGAAGCAATTACTTTAGTTAGCATACTTATTTAGAATACTTTACATTCCAACATAAAGCAATGTCTATGGTTAAAATAGAGAACTACAGCAACGCATTCACAGTACACTACAGACAGAGGTCTTGTATAAGCAGGAAGATAGTGTTTATTTTTTCCCCAAACTACAAAATATGCCCTGTCTCTAAGACCTGCAGAAGGCTGGCGTGTTACCAATAGTGGGTTACCACGAGGAATAAAACCAGTGTTGCATCTCTAGCCGTGCTTAAAACTGAAGCATGCAGACTGTCTGAATTGTTACTTACCACTCTCAGTGGGGAGGGAGGAAATTAATTGCATTCCAGGCAGAGGGACATGTGCATTTTTGTTACATAACCCTCAGCATGCAGTGATAGCAAAATGACAATAATATTTTTGATCTGGAAAACAGCTGGAATAGTTCACCGCTGTTTTGAACTGCAGACGGATTGACAGTTAGCTTTGAACCATCTGCTCAAGCTATACTGTGGTATGTGTGCTAGTAAGTGATGGATCTAGAGATAATGGTTTTCAGGTTTGGAAAGCAAAGGAACAAGCTGTGGGTTTTTGTTGATACTCTGCTGTTATCTATATGGATCTGTGCCTTGTTAGATGAGAGAATATGAAACTATATTTGAACTAATTTGACTCCAGAGTTTCACTTAACCCATACCCAATTACTTTGAAACAGTGTTCCTGCTACATAGTTCAGTAATAGCAGAGTTCAGCTGCTACAGGTATGGCAGTAGGTTGTCTGGGATTGGTTCAGCAACTGATAGGAATTCCGTAGACTTATCAGGGATGGTCATGAGATGCTGAACTACCAAGCAGATACAACCATAGACAGCATTCTGGCCCCAAATGTCCTGTGACTCTTGGATCATCTTGGCTCAGTCCTTTTTTACACCTCTGAAGTATTTACTACCCAGCAAGACTGGAAAAAGAAACAACTAGATTAGAGTCATCAGAGAAGGAAATCATTATCTGGGGAAAGGAAACTAAAATCCTAGCTCTGGAAGTCCACTGTAAAAACCCCAGAAACTTGAGTGGGTCAAGGATTTCAGTCTGTGTGTTTTTGCAGAGCTACAGGCATGAATAATACGTGGGAGGATAAGGTAATCTTACAGATGCAAGAGCTTAATATAATTGGAAGTAAACAAAAGGGTGCTGTGGATTTATGTTTTGCCCCACCTATGGTAAAAAACCTTCCATTAAATGAGGGTTACTAAGTCAGGTGGCATCTTAATTCCCTGATGACATGTGAATCTCTTGTAGGACAGGTGGAACTCGAAGTACCATACAGCAATTAAAACTGTCATTTTTATTTCTTAAGAGACTATTCACATCATGAGAACACAACTATATGGGGCTTCAGCTTTGACAGGAAAATATTTATTTTAATTTTGTTTGTTAACTTGCAAAGAAAAATGCTGGAAAGTGTTCGGTGAAAGAGTTGCGTTACACGTAGTCTTCTGACATGCAAGGGTAAATTCAACTTATTTTGTAGGTCATACATATTTGGAGAGGTAGCACTTCCCTTGGAGGACAGAATCATCTTTTCTGGTATGTGGGATGAAATAAAGAGAAATTCTTCAGCAGAGGAATAAATTTCCGTTTCAAGCGGTAACATTAGGGAGAAAGAGCATGACTTTACATGGAGGAAATAAAAGGCATTTAATAGGATCTATTGTTTCCTGGGGGATATTCTTAGAAATTCCTGCTTCTGCAGCAGCTTTGTGTGTTCTGTTTGAAAAATAACATGGAGTTAGCAGGCAGCCCGAAGCAGCAATGCTCTCGCTGCTGAGACACTAAGACACCTTTCTAAAGCCATTCCTCATCCTTTTAGCTGAGAGGAGTAAATGAAGAGAGTGTCAGTGAGGGGGTGTTGGGGACAGACAGGACCGTTCCTGGCACTGCTCTGCCTGGTGCCCAGGAGCACAGCACGCCGACAGTCGCAGTGGTGCCCGCAGTGATGCTTAGCACAAAGAGTAATGCTAGACCAATGCCGTGTGCCTGTCCCTGACTGGGGTAAATCCCTGTCTACCCCCAGGTGCTGGGTGGCATCACCAGCCCAGCCTTTTTGTCTGCTTTCTCATTCGAGTGAGAAAAAGGTTTTCTCTCATGACTGCTCCAGGGGAGGAGGAGGCCACATGGCTCACGGTTCTTTCTCTTTGCGTTGGCCTGAAAGAAGAGGAAAAGGGGAGAAAAAAAAATTGTCTCTGCTCACCAATTTTTGTTTCACCATTTCCCTCCATGAGAGAATCTCAGGTGGATTCCCAGCGCAGTTCTGTCCAACGTGGCACTCACGGTGTGCCTGCAGAAATAGAAAGAAGAAAGTCTCCCTGCGTCAGATTCTCCAGCTTGCTGGGGACAGCAGGCAGCAAGATCTGAAGACAGAATTAAAAATAGGGTGCTGAAGCAAAAAGGGAGGCAGAAGGGTTATGAAACTGTGAGAAGGAGAAAAGAAAATGTAGAATAATGCTAAAAAAAACACCTGAGTGGTACTGAACAGAGGAGAAGAAATCATTAAAATTACTGCAGAGGAATAGGAGAAAGCAGTAGCGAAGCAGTGAGTATTAGTGGTTGCATAAACTACATAAATTTCTTTCTTTTCCTTTTAATGATGATGTGCCTTTTCTCTTTTATGATGGTAAGTGGTGATTCATGTTTAAAGCCAAGGTTAGAATGTCTCATTACTTTGATTCTTGGAATATATGAAATAAAAATCTCTCCTTTTTTAAGCATTACGTGCCTTCAAGTGAAAAGATGTTGCAATTCATGAGAATGCTAATTAGACTTAATTATAACCCAACTGACCTTCTGTGGTGCTAAAATGTTGGCAGAACTTGTTTGTCTTGGCAAGGCATTCTCTCCTAGAAATGTTTCTATTCTTAAGTTTGGCTCAGGAAGTTCATTGCTATATGTATCTGCACGTATGGTTTTCTCCATCACCCATTAAAGTAACAGAAATCTGAGTAGATGTTACCAGAAGTATGTGGAATTACAGGACTGGTATCTGAAATAGCAGAGATGGAAAGTATCGTTATCTGGATATTGCTGTGAATTACCTAAGCCTTGGACTATGATGTGTTTACATTTCAAAAATCCACTGCTGGAGTACATTTCTTTTCTCTTTGTAATAATTTGTATTCTTCTAGTAATGTGTGTCACCAGAATGTTTCCCAAACAATGCCAAAAGGCGCTGTCTTTTCAGTTCCCTATGCAGAGCTTGCTTTGTTCATCCCTGACTTAAATGCAGGTGTGATTCAGAATGGCAGGCGCTTCTTAGAAAACAAGAAAATAAAAACAAGAAAAAAAAAGAATAGTGCAAAGCAAGGGCAGATTACAGAAACACAAAAGTAAAACAGAATTTCCCACTGAGTGGGGAAATAGTCTGACTCTGCAGAACACAATTTTTTTCCCAGTTTTGCTGAGCACAGTGGCTGACTGGTAATGCTGCTGAGAGCGGCGTGCGACCCAAGGCAGCTCTTTATCTGCTGGGGTTGCAGAATGGAGGCAGATCCCAGTCCTTGGCCAAACTTTATTAAAAACACTGTCAAGCATGGGAAGTTTTTTTGCAGAAAACTTGCCCTTCCTTTAAAGAACACAAATCTCAGGGGCATCGCTGCAAGCATTTATATATAACATGTATGAATTACATAAAGTTGGTGTTTACTCCCAGGTTCCTGCTGGAGGGGAAGGACATGGGCTGTCTGGGGAAGGACATGAACAGGCAGCTTAGCATTAACTCAGCGCTAGGATCTGGGAGATTTCTGGTTTTTGGAGGACCAACAGAGGCCTGTGCTTTACAAAGAGGGCAGCAGCACCTGAGAGTTGCGAGCACCCAGCTGGGATGAAGGTGGCCCTTAAGGAAATCGCAGAGGCATTCATCCAACCGTGCAGGTGACTTGAGACAGCTCCCGGGCACATACAGCCACACTCGTGAGTGCTGAAAAACAGCTTCTAAATTTAACATAAATTGAGTGGGCTTGTGTCAGATTCAGTTTGCTTCGTTGACCCATAACATGTTTTAAGCTGTTTTTTCTCTCACAGTCTAAGCATTTTTTTTAGCCACGGTCAGTGATGATTTTTGACATGTGGTTCTGAACTTGTTTAAGTCATTCTCCTTGGTGCCAGCCTTAATCTTTATTAATTCCAAACTTGGCCCTGGTGCTGGTGTTTCACCATCAATGGCTTAAGCTTTTACATATTAAGAGTAACCAATGCACTGGAAATCTAAACATCCAGAGATTGTTTTTTCTCCCTCCAGAAACTGGCTGCTTGGGTTTGACAGCAACTAACACTAACATTGAGTGTCATTTGTCCTTCCTCCACCCTCCTGGGAAGGCAACTGTGCTGTGTCGGGAAGACATCAGTGGGTGTCTTCTGTACAATGCCAGATGAAGGCAGAAAGGCACAAATGAT